TAATGTAAATTCTTCCAACTTCATAATTTTTGGTAAGTTTGAGCCCAAAAAAGCCCTTCTTAGTTACCAATTCCAAGTTGCCAGTTGACACCATGTAATACTCTGGAAGGAATGTATTTATTCTGATTAAGAGTTCTAAATTATCATTTATGGATTCTCCCCCTCTGTTAGTTGAACATTCTTCAGGGGCTTAACACCTCCTGTTTTTCAGGTAGGTGTGAAATACCTGGCATCTCCCAATGTATTTCACCATAGTTCCCTTTGATACCTGTTTACTGGGCTACATAAGACATGAAGTACTTATATTCTTTTATTTTAACTAACAAATACCATTCTAGAATTTCTCTTCTGCCCACCTACTCTACATCAAGGGACTCAGAAGCTTCTTTTATAATTCCTTTTCCACTTCAAAACAGGAAGAAATTCACATTCATACTTCTTGTCAGTGACATAGTTGTATCAATGCTATTTGGATTTTTAACCCTAATTATAGAAGGAAAGACTTGGTCTCTTATGAAGGCAATTGCAATTGAGTATCTGAATACAAAGTGTAGCAAGTTGAAGGACACACAGTAGGGTCAGCATCAGAAAATGTAGGTAAGAGCTTGTTTCTAAATTCAGAACTCCTTACACCATTTTATTCAGAAGAACAGCTGCTTATAAAGATCCGCCATGCCCTTTCCACCCAAGAACACCCACAGCACATTTTCATGGTGCTCTCTCTTCTCCCACAGTGACCTCCAACATCCCAAGGTGGACAAAGAACAGAACAATCTGTTTGAAGAATCAAGTGTGAGTATGGATAAATGACAAGACATACAAGGCACAGACAGAATAGTCAAAATGGGTAGAGAGAAACAGAATAGAACATTTACTAACAATGTCTCTTTATTTTTGTCTGTAAGAAGGGGTAAAGCAAGTGGGAGATCAATGGCTTGGAAACTCTAGTTCTGGAGGGTAAGACTCAGGATTTCTCATCTTAAAGCAATGTGTATAATGTGACACTGATGGGCTCTGCTTTACCATGCACACAGTAATAATTCTACAGGAGTTATATGTCAGATTAATTTATTCTGAATATTGCTTGATAAGCACTCTAAATTCTACAGTTGTTTTCACAGTTCACTACTGAAATATAATGGCCTTAAACTTCTTTAAAGGAGAGACAGTGCCCCCTTTTTTTTTTTTAAAAAAAAAAAGACTTATTTATTTAAAAGGCAGAGCAATAGTGAGAGGGAGCTATATATATATATATATGTGTATATATATATATATAGATCTATTTAAGCGTATATGTACATAGATCTATGTATGCATCTATGTATATAGATCTATCTATCTATCTATCTATCTGAGACACAGACTCACACACATACATCATCTGGTTCACTCTCCAAATGGCTACAACAGCCAGATCTGGGCCAGACCAAAGTAGAGAGCTAGGAACTCTATCCAGGTCTCCCAAATTGGTGACAGGGGCCTAAATACTTGAGCCATCTTCCACAGCCTTCCCTAGTACATTAGCAGGAAGCTGGATAGCATGTAGTTGGGACTTGAACCAGCACTTTGATACAAGATGCCAGTGTCATAAGCAGTGGCTTTATCTGCTGTGCCACAATGGTGGCCCATGAAACTTTTAAAAAATCTTTGAATTCCTTAAATTTGTTTCTTAGTGAAAGAGAAGCAAATTTCATCACTGAACCCAACTACTGCAATGTACTGAAATACATCATAAACTGCATTGCCTCTTTTTGGTGTAGGTGAAGATATTTTTGCATTGATTCTGTAAGATGATCTCTGCAAAATGATCATCATCTAATTTTTAAGTCTAATATCTAATTTATTTACACTTCAGTTACCCTATGGGCTTCTCATGACGGATTGTTCCTTATTTTCCTTATTATTTTTAAAGCTTTATTTACCTATTTGAATGGCAGAATGACAGAGAGAGTCAGAGAAAAAGAAACAGAGCGCTTCCATATGCTGATTCATTTCCAAAATGCCAGCAACTGAGGCTGGGCCAGATCCAGGTGGAAGCCTAGAACATGGAACTTCATCCAGGTCTCCCACATGGGCGTCAAGGATCCAATTACTTCGACTACCATCTGCTGTCTTCGCGGATGCAGTAGCAGGAAGCTGGATTGGAAGTGGAGTAGCTAGGACTTAAATTGGCACTCTGATATGGGATGAGGGTGTCTTAAGCAGCAACTTAATCCATTCTGTGACAATGACCAACTCTTACTATTTTTACCAGTTACCTCATTTATCCTATGCATTCTTTTATTCTGATAATAATGAGTCAAGCAGGGCACCGACCTCAGCATATTGGTCTGACCCAAGTTTTCCTTAAATTTCTAATAAGGTATTTCTAAAGTAGGCTTTCTTCAGGCTATTTATTATTCTTTTCAATTTTCCTCTTATATCACAATCTATGTAAAATCTTCTTAAAATTAAAAGTCATCAAGTAGATTTAAGTCATTTTCTTGTGGACTGGCCACCTAAAAATCATTCATAACCACTCTTCCCTTTGCCTTCAAGTTCCACAAAGGATCTAGTGGCCAATCCTTCCTGGCCACGAGAAGTTGTGTGACCCATTTCTGACCAATAAGACTTAAGTGAAAATCCCTGGGAGAAGCCTCCATTTAGCAAAGCCCCTGGCTGACACAAACTTTTGGCCTGCATTAGTCCTTACTCTTTTTCTTCAAAGATACATATGTAGAGGAGCACTAGATATCTTGCAACCCTGAGATAAAAAGGATGATGGGAAAGGAAGCATGCTCCTCGATAACAGTATTTTTATTTATTTATTTATTTTTTGGACAGGCAGAGTGGACAGTGAGAGAGAGAGAGAGACAGAGAGAAAGGTCTTCCTTTGCCGTTGGTTCACCCTCCAATGGCAGCTGCGGCCGGAGCGCTTGCGGCTGGCGCATGGCGCAGATCCGAAGCCAGGAGCCAGGTGCTTCTCCTGGTCTCCCATGGGGTGCAGGGGCCAAGCAACTGGGCCATCCTCCACTGCACTCCTGGGCCACAGCAGAGAACTGGACTGGAAGAGGGGCAACTGGGACAGAATCCGGCGCCCTGACTGGGACTAGAACCCGGTGTGCCGGCGCCGCAGGAGGAGGATTAGCCTAGTGAGCTGCAGCGCCGGCATGATAACGGTATTTTAAGATTTAAGAACTTCAGATACATTTAAAACATGAACTGAATGAAGTGTCTTTCATTCTGGGTATTCATTACAACTAGTAGATAATGTCAGTGAACAAATGTGAATGTTTAACATGGACTGAAACCTAAAGACTGCACAAAGACAGCTTCTTAAACTCATCAAATAATTTAGTATGCGTGCTTTTTAATGATTCTCTATTTTCTATCTAAATTTGAAATATATCCCAAACTATCCAATCCTATACTCTTGATGTTTTATGCTGTATTGAACAGACTACTTTTCCTCCCTAGAGTTTAAATTCAGACATATATAATTTAATGCCTGTACACACTTACTATTGCTGACATTTTCCACAGATATAATTAGTAATCTAGAACTATGTTTTCAAAACTGCCTATGACATATGCTAAGATCTGAAATAATGAGTCCAGATTAAAGTCTTACTAACCTTTGTTATAAAATATTAAAACTGTCTAATCTCATATCTTTGTAAATATGATACAGCAGTGAAAATGCCAATAGCAATGGCAAGCTATAACCAATTCAGAGGAAAGTAAAAAAATTTACCCAGACAAAACAATGTTTTATTCATGTAGTTATGTATTTCAAGACAAATTCTAAAACTGGTTATTTTATTACTCTAAGGAGCTGTTTTAAATTGCTTGAGATGTAATGTAAAAGAGGGCTGGCACTATGGCGCAACAGGTAAAGCCACCATGTGAGGTGCTGGCATCCCATATGGGTACTGGTTGGGTCTTGACTTCATATCTGGCTCTCTGCTATGGCCTGGAAAAGCAGTAGAAGATGGCCCAAGTCCTTGGGCTACTTCACCCATGTGGGAGACTAGAAGAAGCTCCTGGCTCCTGGCTTTGAATAAGCCTAGCTCTGGACGTGCAACCACTTGGGGAGAAAACCAGTGATGGAAGGCTTCTCTCTCTTTCCCTGCCTCTGCCTCTCTCTAACTCTGCCTTTCAAATAAATAAATAAATTGTTATTTAAAAAAAAAAAAAAAAAGAAAAAATAATACGGGGGCAAGAATAGCCACCAAAGGAAGAAGAAATCTTGCTTAAAATCTGTTTTGATGCTGTCATTACCACGCTCAAAATCTTCCCCAGCTCCTCACTACTTTCATAAATTCATACTCCATGAGTCAGCCCATTTCCCTTGCCAGTTTTATTTCTCCTTACTTCCACACCCGATCAAAATTACTCTACTTCTTCCAAAAACTTTCACACTGCCAATTTTTTAAGTAAAGATGTTCCCAACAGTTACTACATAAAGTTAGGAACACTTGAAGTCAAAGGAACATCCATAACAATGCCATACAGTTGTCCATTAGTATTTAGGAGCATTTTGTCCCCCTGTAATGTTGGGGACAAGTTTACACTAAAAAATTGTTTATCTAAAACTAAAATTTAACTGAACATGCTAATTTTCTTCCAAGCCTGTTTCATACACACTCTTCTAGCCCATGTTAGTGTCACAGAGGCTCTTGTCTTGTTCTCCCAGCATCTAAAACAGCGTCTAGCACAAAGCACTCAGAAAATATCTGCTGAATGAATGAATGCTCTGAATTCATAAGCCCGTTAAGGTGTGTAGTACTAAAACACTTTCAAAGTTCTGGAAGGAAAAATTATCTATGCTTCTCATTCAGGCAAAGTGAATGCTAAAACTAGTTTCACATGAATTTGTTATCATTATTGTATTGTAACAAGAGAAATGAAATATATTCTAATTATTTGTACATAATAAAAAGTAACTCTAGGAATATAGAAATATTAATATATAAGCATGCTTACAGAATAAACTTTATACAGCTGTAAATCTATTTTACCGTCTTAATAGAACTCCTTTGTTTTTCTTCCCAAACACTACTGCTCAACTCAAGTGTGCAATGAATATTTGCCTCTCTGTCATAGGATCCAAAAATGAATAACCTGTGGTATAAAAATAAAACAAGGAGAGTATTATTCCAGTTATATGCATTAAAATGTTCTTTCTGATCATTTAACAAGCAAAAAAATAACACAATACTCCATTACTATTAAAGTTTTAGTAAGAAAAAAAATAAATCACACATTTGGTATACCCTCTAGTGGAAGAAAGAAGTAATGCTAAAATTAGTTGAGATCTCACAACATGTTTCTTTCTCTGCACCTAAGTCAAACCAATAGTAATATCTACTCAACAGGAAGAGAAATTGACCAAATTTCTGTATGTGGTAGCAAGTTATAGGTCTTCAAAACAGACAGCTGAATTTTAAAAAAGCTACATAGTGATTTATATAGTATACCATCTGGAATAATTAAAGTAAAATACAATTACACACATGCACATGCGTGCGCACACACACACTCTTCATCTACCACCCCCCACTCATCCACATCATCGACTAATGTGACCTTAGACAAATTACTTCACTTCTCTAAAGCTATCTCCTCTATTGGAAAATTCAGGGCAAAAGCAGTACTTACCTCTGAGAGTTCTGAGAGTCAAAAAAGATAATACACACAAAGCATTTTGCAATAATGTCTTATAATCAGTAAATGTTCAAGAAATGTTTGTTGTTTATATTATTATCTTGAAAATAATTATCAAGGAATAATGGCACCACCCAGTTTTACCACTTAGTATTTATTTCTAAAAAGGACATTGGAGGCCTAATCCTGAAATTATAACAAAGATTTATGGCCGGCACCGCAGCTCACTAGGCTAATCCTGTGCCTTGTGGCGCTGGCACACCGGGTTCTAGTCCCAGTCGGGGCACCGGATTCTGTCCCAGTTGCCCCTCTTCCAGGCCAGCTCTCTGCTGTGGCCAGGGAGCGCAGTGGAGGATGGCCCAAGTGCTTGGGCCCTGCACCCCATGGGAGACCAGGAGAAGCACCTAGCTCCTGCCATCGGATCAGCGCGGAGTGCCGACCACAGCGCGCCGGCCGCGGCGGCCATTAGAGGGTGAACCAACGGCAAAGGAAGAGCTTCTCTCTGTCTCTGCGGAACTCAAGGAAATCATGTTTATATCTCCCAACTGAGAAACCTGAATGAACTCACGGCAAAAAAAGGGGGAAAAAACCCTAAATTTGAATAACTCTTAAGAAATCTTAAAAGAAATTTTGAACTTACCGCTTAACAGCCTTATAACCAAAAAGAAGGTAGGCCAAATACATTAAGAGAATTCATAATTATAATTTATTAAATTTAGAAAAATAAGAACTTTCACTCACTAAAGCTTTGCTGCCCCCTTCTGTTCAAAGAGTAAACTGAGTGCCTTGGCTATCAAGCAGAGAAGGCTGTGCACCAGCCAGTGTTCCCGAATTACCCACAGATACCAATCATCTTCAGGATTTAGGAATGAGAACGCAGAGTTGTCAGACATTATACCCTGAACATAAGTTAGTCCATATTTCTCACTTTTCAAATGTTCTTTAAAATAACAAAACTTAACATAAACAAACTCAAAATGGGTCATGGACCTAAAACTATTAAAATTTGGAAGAAAGTATAAAAGCAAATCTTCCTCACCTTGGACTAGGTGGCCATTTCCTAGATATGATACCAAAACCACAAGAATTAAAAATATAGACAGATTGGACTTAATTGAAACTAAAACTTTTTACACTTCAAAGGACACCATCACATAAATGAAGAGAGCCCACAGAGTGTGAGAAAATGTTTGCAAATCATGTATCTGATAAGGGCCTAGTACCCAGGAAATTTGAAAAACTCTTACAAATAACAACAAAAGACAATCTACTTGAAAACTGGGTACAAGTAATTAATAGATACTTCTCTAATGATATGCAGATGCTCAAAAAGCACACAAAAAAGTACCCAACATTAATAGTCATCAGGGAAATGCAAACTGTAAGCACTTCATGCTCACTGGAATGGTTCTAACCAAAAACTGACATTAATAGGGATAGGTGAGGATATGGAGAAGCTGATTCCTTGTATATTATTGGTGGGAATAAAAAAGTGTTGTTGTCAGTTTGGAAAATTGTTTGGCAGTTATCTAACACAGGTTTGACATATGGGCCAGCAATTTCATTCCTAGGTGTATAATTAAGATTAATGAATGAATACATTCCCATAAAAACTTGTAAATGAACATTGACAGCAGCACTATTTGTAACATATGTAAAATATGGAAACCATCCAAAATGTCAAGTGATCAATGGGGCAAATAAAATGTGTAATGGAATATTACCTGGCAGTAAAATAAAAGTAGTAAGACATACTACAATATGGATGAACCTTGAAAAATTTCTAACTGAAAAAAGTCAATCACAAAAGGCCACATATTGTATGATTTCCTTTACAAGAAGTGTTTGAAATGGGATAATTTATGCAGACAGAAAATAGATTAGTATGTTAAACAAAAATTAAAGGAGGCTATTGTTTTGAACTGAGTTCTTGCTCTAACAGACTGGAATGGAGTCCTTCATATTAAATACAAATAATCAAACTGAAATTTTAAAGAAGCAGACAGATACAACTAATACTGCTGTCATTTTTTTTTTTTTTTTTTTTTGACAGGCAGAGTGGACAGTGAGAGAGAGAGACAGAGAGAAAGGTCTTCCTTTGCCGTTGGTTCACCCTCCAATGGCCGCCGCGGCCGGCGCGCTGCGGCCAGCGCACCGCGCTGATCCGATGGCAGGAGCCAGGAGCCAGGTGCTTTTCCTGGTCTCCCATGGGGTGCAGGGCCCAAGCACCTGGGCCATCCTCCACTGCACTCCCTGGCCACAGTAGAGGGCTGGCCTGGAAGAGGGGCAACCGGGACAGAATCCGGTGCCCCAACCGGGACTAGAACCCGGTGTGCCGGCGCCGCTAGGCGGAGGATTAGCCTAGTGAGCCGCGGCGCCGGCCTCATTTTGTTTTTTTTACAAGTGGTTACTTAAGGTCAGGAAGGAGAACCAGAAGAGAATGGAAATTGTTAACAAATATGGGATTTCTTTGAGAGGTATGAAAATGTTGTAAAATTAGATTGTGATGACAGTTGTATAGATGTGTAAATAACAGTGAATTATGCACTTTAAATGGGTGAGTTGTACAGTATGTAAATTATATCTCAGTAAAATTGCTTAAAGAAAAAAATGAACTACAAATAGCAATTTTCTTGATGGGTTATACTAAAAGTTTAAAAAATATAATAAATGTTTGGTTAATTATTATAAATCAAGATATTTAAGAATTTATTTTACTCCAAAAATTTATTTCTTGAGAAAAATTATTATTTCTTAGGATCTTCATAAAGTATAATATGTGCATAAACCTACTAATATTTATTTTATTTGCAAGAATGACTCACTAATAGCAGCAGATATAACAAGAGCTTCACTTAAGACTCTCTAGACTGACTATTTGTTTCTTACAAGCTCTAGATTTGATCTGTCTATCCTGGGACAAAAATCCTAGTATTTCTTGTGCCTACTTTTGACTTGATCTTAGTAGGTTCCTTCACCATTATGACTCTGTTGACTGTCAAGCTTCAACTCTCAAAATATTTTACACCACTTTTCTGATTTCTTGACTAACACCTTGACATGTGAAAAACATGGAAATTTCTGAAAATGCAAGAAAGGAAAACTCCTACTGGTAACACTAGTACCAGTGGGACAAATTTTGAAGACACAGGCTTTAGCTTAAGATGAACAGAAATCTCCATATTTAAGCAAAAGGATCAATTTTCATTCTCTATGTCCTTAAACTTGAGTTGCAGAACACGTCTAGAGAAATCTAATCATGCTCTACTACTTTACATTCATAAAATCAAATTCATATAGCATTTCTAATCAAAAACCTGAAATGTGAAATGCTCCAAGATCTGAAACTTTCTGAGCACTGACATCATGCCACAAGTGGAAAATTTCACACCTGATCTCATGTGAGGGGTTGCAGTTAAAACACAGGTACACTTAAAATACTGTATAAAGTTACCTTCAGGCTACCCATATAAGGCACATAAATAAATTTAGTGTTTACAGTTGAGTCCCATCCCCAAGATATCTCATTATGTATATGAAAATACTCCAAAGTCCAAAGTGCTTCTGGTTTGAGCATTTTGGATAAGGCATAGTCAAGGTGTACCTCCTCGACTAGTCCTGGAAGGCAGAAGCTTCATCTTGCTCTTTTTTTTTTTTGACAGGCAGAGTGGATAGTGAGAGAGACAGGGAGAAAGGTCTTCCTTTTGCCGTTGGTTCACCCTCTAATGGCCGCCGCGGCCGGCGCGCTGTGGTCGGCGCACCGCGCTGATCCGATGGCAGGAGCTAGGTGCTTCTCCTGGTCTCCCATGGGGTGCAGGGCCCAAGCACCTGGGCCATCCTCCACTGCACTCCCGGGCCACAGCAGAGAGCTGGCCTGGAAGAGGGGCAACCGGGACAGAATCCGGCGCCCCAACCGGGACTAGAACCTGGTGTGCCGGCGCCGCAAGGCGGAGGATTAGCCTATTGAGCCTCGGCGCCGGCCCCATCTTGCTCTTTTGATCTATTCTCCAAAAGCTAGGAAATAATGTTTGCTGATGAAGTCAATGTCAATGATACCATGATTTTGCTACACTCAAATGCTCTACCTCTCCTACCTACACCCATCCCAGAGTCATTCACTTAAAGCCTATGCTAGTTATCACATGTGCCTTTCCTTCCTGTTCCGACTGATGATACATGTCCTTCAAGCACTTACCTCCTCACCTTTGACCTACAACACCTCTTTGTCTAGAGCTTCAGATGGTCTCAGTTCACTCTATAATAATCTGAAAGCAGGTGTTTCTTAATGTCACTTTTTTTTTTTTTTAATCATTAGGGTAGGGCTTTTTTTTTTTTTTTGACAGGCAGAGTTAGACAGTGAGAGAGAGAGAGAGACAGAGAGAAAGGTCTTCCTTCCGTTGGTTCACCCTCCAAATAGCCACTACGGCTGGTGCGCTATGGCTGGTGTGCTGCAGCCG